CCGGGGCCGGACCCTGCGCTCCGCCCCGGCCCCGCTATTCCCGGCCCCGTCCTTCCTTCCCAGCGTTGTCTAGCGGCTTTGTGCCCCGCTGCCCGGGGTCCTCCCGGGCCCTTCCCGCTCCCGTCTGGAGGGAAGGGTGCTGGGGAGCCGTGCCCGTGCCTGCCCTTCCCCCCCGTACACGTTTTTTCGCGAGGATGTGGCTGAATTTGGCCACCTCTGGGCCGGGGGAACACCGCCAGGTCAGGGGGGTGGGAGGGCTGCCCTGGCCTAGCCGCTGGAGCCCCGCTGCCACGTTCAACAGCTCCATGGAAATAAACGGGGGGTTCCCACGAAACCGGCGCTTGTCCAAGTGTCCCAAGCACGCTGTGAGCCTGTTATTTCCTCAGGAACTACTCGTAGCCGTAGGGCAGCTCCTCACCGTGTTACAATGAGTTTCTTTTAATTACAAGGAACTTTTCTGGCGGCGTTGGGCAGCTGACACCCGCCGCTGTCGAGGGGGATTTGGACTTTGGCTGTTGCTCCTGCAGCTGGCTGTGTGTGGAAGGCACAGGAGAGCTCCTAGGCACATCTCTCTGGTGCATTTCTCTCCTTTTCTCTGGTCAGGGAAATCACAGACTTCAGTCTTTCTATTCCACCTCAGCTTTGATCTCTGCTTCAGCGCAGGAGTTGAGAGGAGGAAAGACAAGAGGGAGAAGGGGCAATCTGTCCAAGGCTCACCTTGGGAAAGTTTTATCCTTGAACAGTGGCTGCACCTACCCCAGGAGTTGACAAATCACTTGGCTGAGTGACAGCAGGGAAACAAAACCCTTACGTGACTGACACCAGCTCCTCTGCTCCAGGCTTTTTGGGATGGTAAACACTCTGTCCTCCTCCCTGGCTGTACCATCCCCTTGTCTCTCTAGCACGTGTGTTTTTGGAGCTATTCTTGGCGTTTGCAAACACGGGTCAGACCCGTTGTTGGCATATTTAGGTGTTTATGGAGAAGAATGTTTGTCTCCCCCATCCCAGAGAAGGTTCTGAGGAGTCTGGTGGTGTCCACAGCACGTGCTGGAGGGAAGGAGCTACCTGGCCTTGAGCATCTGTGGCTCACTGCACAAACAGGGGCAGGTTTTTGGGTGCAGAACAGAGTATTGAGCCACGTCCTGGGAACAGGATTTCTCTGGATGGCTCCAGATGATTTTTCTCAAGTCATACAGAGGGGTTGTCACGAGCTGAATTTCACAGATTGGGTTTAGAACGAGCAGCTTGGAGGAAGAAGAAGCAGCTAAAAATCAATCTCCTTCCAGCTGGGGTCTGGCGTGTGGGTGAAATGTTTGCTCACAGGAGGGTTCCTGTAGGCTGTGCTGCAGAAACCCCACCTGGACGTGGGTTTTGGGGCTCCCTCTTCAGCTGCATTAACTTGCTGTGTCCTGAGTGGCCACCGAAGTGCTCAGCAACCTCTGTGTCTTTCTCTCAAGTTCCTTTAGCACGCTCAAATCGTGTTTCTGAAACAGATTCCAGACGTTGTTGGGAATAACTTCTTGGTTTTGCCATTTCCATGGAACCTGTTGCTTTGAAAAGGGGCAGGAGAGCCTTGGCAGGTCAGGAGCTGGAGTACTTAGGTAAATTATTTCCTGAAGAGGCAGCTCGTTTTCACGTGGCCTTCCTTGAAAGCCACTCATCAACAGCAGGGATCATAAATTTGAGGAGTGGTTACGAGCCAGAGAGTGTTTTTGGATTTATAAAGACCTCTTGTGTGTCTTTTTCGTGTAAGTCTGGAGATGCTTGTGCAATAGGTCTACTCCTAATTTACTTTGTGTGTCCAAATGACTCCAAAAAGATGCAGAAGTGTCAACACCCAGTAGTTCAGTGCTGCTTTTCCAGAAGCTGTTTACTGCTTCATAGGCAGTGAATAAATGTGAGTTCTCCACATGGTTTGCAATAGTATCTGCGAAGAAACATCGACTGGCTCGTTAAGGAGAGGACAATTAGCATGAAAGAGAGGGAGGGGAAAGGTGCAGGGGATGGCAGGAGAGATCTGCTCCTCCTGTATGAGCTGTCCCTGCCTGGCAGGGCCACCTTGGCTCTCAGATAGTTCTTGACAACAGGCCCAGGACAAGGTCCAGGTGAGCTGGCCCCTGCTCCCATGCCACCACACCTCCTGGGGGTAGTTTGGGTGGTCAGACAGCTCACGGGTGGCACAGGGAGAGCACCTCAGAGAAAAGCCCACGGGGGCTGTTGCTCACAGGGTTCCAGCTCCATGATTTCCCCATCCATTTTGGCACGGTTGACAGGATCCCTTGGTTGGAGTTGGTGAACTGGAGAAAACTCCCCAGCCTGGCTGCTGTGGAAAGCAGGCAGCAGATGTGAGGCTGCCCTGACAAATAGCACAAGGAAATGCTGATTTTTTTCAGTGTTAAGCTTTTTTTTGTGAGTGACTGATGTGCTTTAAGATTCCCCCTCCTGTTTTTTCACTCGTTCTGCCTGTCACTCCTGCTTGCATGACCATCCTGACCACCTCTGTGCATGGGGAGCCAAATTTTTACCTTTGTTCAGAACCAGGAAGGTCAAACAACCTCTAGGACACAGCTACACGCTCTCTATGCGTGTCTGCACCTAAAACTGATCCTTGGAGGATGCATTTTGCAAGGTCTGGCCAAATAGGAGCAATTAGCCAGAGCAGAGTGGACACACCAATTTATTTCCTCTAAGCAATTTGTGGGGCTGTTGGAGATAGCTGGAAAAAGGAGGATTTAGGTAAGTTCATTCTGGTATTGAGGTCCCTACCTTAGCAGTGCTCCTGGTTTTTGGAGTGGAAATCCATGGGAGTACAGAGGTCAGGGTGCAGAAACCCTCTCTAGGAAACTTTCTCTCACAAACAAACTCAATAAACTTTGACTTGGAAGGTGATGTGAAAGTCTGATCACTTTAGTGCTTACTTGTTGTCTAAATGGCAATCATACTTTTAAAAAGAGAAGCAGAATTCTTGCTGGTTTGGACTCTCAGCTGAATGCAGTGCAGGGTGGAATGTCCTGGTGTCATCAAGCACCAAGTTAACTGCTTTAATGAAGGGCATGAAGCTGCTCAGACCCCTCAGCAGAAGTGCAGGAGTGAGAGGCTGCCTGTGGTGTGAGCCTGCTGTGTCAGTTTTAAAAAGGAGAATGCTTCCAAATCCTGCCTAAAATAGTTCAAACTATTAATGCAGAGCTGGCCCAATCCTCTCTGCCAGACAAAACAGGCTGCGTGGCTTGGTGCCCCATTCCTCCTGCTACACCACGTGCTGGAGGGCATCTGTCTCTCCAGGAGGCTGCTCCCAGCCTCGTGCCCAACAGGAGGGGCACGAGGAGTCTCTGGTTTTGCTGCCCTGTTGTTTTCTCACACCGTTATTTGCAGCTCTTGCCCCAAGACAGGGAGGGTTGAGCTGTGTTGGTGCCCAGCCTGGCTGGAGTCCTCGTGGCAGAGGCTGTGGTTTCCCACATAACATTCCCTTGCTGCCACACCTTTAGAGCTGAGGTTTCTGTGTGTGCTTTTTTTAAAAGTCCCGTGACTTGGGGTTTAACAACAACCATCACCCCCCCCAGGCTGTGGATTTGGGGTGATTTTCCTCCCTGAGAATGCCAAAATCCCACCTCGCAGCAGGGGTCTGGGGTTCTGTTTCTGCTTGAGGGGGCTTGAGCCTTTCTTGACGGGGCAAGGCCAAGCCTTGAGCACGTTTGCCCTCGGTTGTTTCAGGTTGGTTGAGACAATGAGGCCTTTTTGAAAAGGATCTGACTAAATCTTGTGGTTTAAACCAGGCTGAGCTGCTCGGGCAGCTGAGGAATGGTGCTTGGGGAACAGGGGCTGCATCCAGCTGCTGGAACTGCTCCTTCTGTAGATGTGCACATCCATTCTGTGGGTCCAGTTGTCTGTACCTGGCTGTCCATCCAGATTCTGTGACTCCAGAAGTGCAGACCTTGGGTGGGAATGAGGACGTGCTGTTGCTCCTCACTGTTACTCAACAATTTCTGCCCTGTTGCTCCATGATTTGGGATATAATCCTGCCACACGCTTCCTTCTGACACCCTAACCTAGCAGGTTGAGTGCTGGGGGAACAGCTTTTGGCTGTGTTTGTTCAGTTCCTCCACTGACTGGGGTGTCAGGATGGCTTCTGACTTTGTGTTTGATCCTGTAGGTACGTGGGGAACCTGTCAAGAGATGTGACTGAAGCTCTGATCCTCCAGCTGTTCAGCCAGATCGGACCCTGCAAAAACTGCAAAATGATCATGGATGTAAGAGCCTCCAGCTGATGATTTCTGTGTTTCTCATGATGAGTGGCTTTGGGCCGTGCCTGGGTGTTCCAGAATTCCACTGGACACACGACATGGCCACGTTAAAGGGATGGGGTAAAGCTGGAGATCACTGCCCTGTATTTTGGGTATCATTTCTGTGTCTGACATCAAATTTAAGGACGGATGGATATCGTGGGAGGGAGTGAACAGGTTAATATTTAAAAGCCACGTAGATGTGGTGCTGAGGGACGTGGTTTAGTGGTGGGCTTGGCAGTGCTGGGTTAACAGCTGGACTTGAGGATCTCTTTTCCAAGCTAATGATTCTATGTGGCTGGTGTAGATGAGATTTGGAAAGTTCTTTGCCATCTTTTACCTTCCTAAAGCAGAACTGAAACCTGGAGCGTTGGCCCATGGCCTGTCCATTTTGAGCCATTGAGATGGAAGGAATAAGGAGCTGAGCAGAGCAGCGAGGGCACAGTTTGGGAAGGTTTTGTGTGGCTGATCCTCTGTCTCTTTTTTTCTCAGACAGCTGGAAACGACCCCTATTGTTTTGTGGAGTTCTACGAGCACCGGCACGCGGCCGCAGCGCTGGCTGCCATGAATGGCAGGAAGATAATGGGTAAGGTAAGCTGTCCTGTCTACAGGGTGAGTTGGAGCTGGAAAACAGGCTGCCCAACAGGCTGTCCTGGGTGCCAGGGGGGAAATATTCCCAGGAGGAATATCACCCGGGGCGAAGGGTTCAGTTTGGACAGAGGTCTTGCTGGGCCACCACCAAGAGGAGCTGTTCAGACCGTCGTAGGAGGGCTGTGGGGGCAGGTGGGGTGTAGAGCTGGGAGGGCTCAGAGGCTGGAATGGGTGTTTTAACACTGCCCACCTTGTCAGGGGAACATCCTTCACTTCCTCCCTGCAAAAAAACCCACCCAGCCAAATCAAATCCCCAGGCTAGGCCTGTTTCCCATCTTTACTCTTAACCAGCAAAGGGAAGAAGGAACCCTCTCCTGAGAAATGTGTCTGAAACTTGAGCTTTCACCCCAAACTTGCACATGTGGTGCCACTGTAGGGTGAGAGTGAAGCACTGGAGGTTTCTGAGCTTAGCTGGGGAGCTGCTTAACCTAACGTGAGCGACTGACATTTGCAGGAGGTCAAAGTGAACTGGGCGACGACCCCCAGCAGCCAGAAGAAAGACACCAGCAGTAAGTGTTGCTTATGCTTCGAGTACACATTTGATTTGCACGAGGAGTTTTTCAATCTGAGCAGGAAGAACCATGCAGTTCCATGCAGTAATATTTTGGTCGTAATCCTAAGAGATTGTTTCATGTGTGTGTGTGAATAAACTCAAGAACAAATCTAATCTTTGTCATCAGGCAGTACCGTTGCCAACACACAGCGTTCACAAGGTAATTGTGTCTTCTTAAACAGAAAATGAGATCTCTCAAGGGTGAGGAGAAGCTCTGCATGGGGTTTTTGTTTGTTAGGAATCTACTTTTCGTGGGAACGCTTCCTTTCTGTTTCCTTGGAGCAGCAGAGAGGGATCTGGTGTCCACTGTTCAGCTCTGATGCTGATCAGCTCTTTGGCATGAGCACAACTGTTAAAACCCCAAGGCCCTCATCCCCTGCTGTCAAGGGGGAACAGTTGGCTCCCTGGCTGGCTGCAGCATGTGCTCCTGCAGACAGACTCCCTGGGGGGCTCAGGACGTTCCCAAAACAGGGCTCCATTGCTCCCTCCTCACAGCAAGTCTGTGGATTGCTGCTCTTCTTGGCAAGCTTGGAATAGTTCTGCGAGCCACTGGGGCTGAACTGCATCAGACTTGAGGGTTTTGCACCTAAAAAAGTCTTTATGTTGCTGGGATGATGTCTGATGTGTTGTGTGATTGTAATGGAAAACTCCTTAGATACAGCACTTTGGTTTCTCCTTGGTGCCTGTGTTTCCTAGCTCTGGTGTAAGCCAAAGGGGTTTCTGTTGGTCTGCTGCCTTCAGTCTTAGTCCCCTTGCACACAGATTCACAGATGTTGAATTCACACGGTGTATTGACTGGGCAGCCCAAACTTTGGGCTTTTGAGAGCTGAAATGCTTTAAGTTTAAACTCCTGCAATGCAAAGTATCCTTTGGATTTGTTCTTCACGACCTGTGGTGGTGACCCAGCCACGCTGGCTGAGCTCAGAACCTGTCCTGCTCCAGAGCAAACGTTTCCCTGCACTTCTTGAAAGCACTGGAGGCCATCAAATTTGGAATGACTCCTCACCTGCTGTGTTGAGCTTAGCCCTGGGGTACAGAGAGAAAGGTTTTCCTGTAACCTTGGCACATTAAGGAAACTGTTAGAGAGTTTGTACGGTAGATGCTGACTGGCCTTAAAAGCAGTTTGTAAAATACAAAATGTAAATGGTGTGTGTCACTGCAGTGTCCTTAAAATCACTGATTTTGGGGCACTGCCAAGCAAAGGACCTGCTGGGAACAGCTCTCTGTCTCAGTGAACTCTACAGGTTTTAACACTAGCTGGAAAGTTGGTTTCTGTGAGAGTGCTGGGTTCTGTGCACGCCTCTGCAGGGGTCACCTTCAGCCACTAAGATCCTTTCTTCTCTTTTTTTTTCCCCAAAAGACCATTTCCATGTCTTTGTTGGAGACCTCAGCCCAGAAATCACAACTGAAGATATAAAAGCAGCTTTCGCCCCGTTCGGCAGAATATCGTAAGTCATTTCTTAGGGCAAATAAAGATCTCTCTCCTAAATTCAGGCACCTTATGTTTCAGCAAGTAAAAAACAGGAGTTGTCAGGAGTACACAGTGATCTGTTCGTGCAGCAACTCGGAGTCCAAACACTGGGGCACCAGGCAGGGACCTGTGGCCCTGATCCTTGATAGACTTTAGGTCTGCTTGCCTAGAACCTCGCTTCAGTTTGACCCTCCCTGCCTCGGCTGGCAAAGCACTGCTGGAAAAAACTCCCTCCTAAACCCAGGGTCTGTGCTCCCTTGCCCCCCTCACAGCTGTCAGATCACCAGCCCACTGTGCAGCTTGTGGTCCTTTGAGCCCATTCTTGGCAAGGTCTGGATTTTTTTGTCAGCTTTGCTGTGCCAGCCACCAGTAGCCGATGGCTTTGTGCAGTTAAATTCCCCTTTTCCCACAAAATGAACTTTTTTTAGCACAAGACTCTCTGGGGCAGTGTTAAGCCCTTGAGTCCAAGGGCTTGGCCAAAGCCACAGGGCATCTTGGGCAGGGAGTTGCCCTTATCCCCGTGGTGCAGAGTGATGATGTCACACTGATGTCACCCCTGCCAGCGTGTTGTATTCAGGGTGTAGCAGAGTAAGGAGCAGTTCATTCATTCCATCCTCCAAATGTAAACCATTAATTTTCCTTGTAGTGTTGTCTGTACTGGACATTGAAGTTTCTTGATGGTGATGTAAGAGAACATAGAATGCTTTGGAGTGTTGGGTAGTGAAGCATTTAATTGAAGTAAGTTTGTTTTTTGTTGTTTTGGTTTTTTTCCCCCCCCCCTTCAGAGCTCAGTGTGTTACTCTTTATATGCCAGCTTGATTTCCTCTTGTGATAAGGTTTAAAAACAAAGATGTGATCTGAATGTAACTTGCTTCAGACAACAGCAACGCTTGACTGCACCTTTTGCCACCCAGGAATTGCTGAGGGTCAGGCTCTGAAGGAGAGTCCCCTTATCCCCTGGCCAGGCGTGGTCTGGATGGAAGGGCTGAGGAGCTCTAAAGCTGGAGCAGTGTGGAAGGGAGGCAGTGGCAGGATGCTGCTTTGGTGGCACTGTGAGGGGGCTGGGACAGAGAGGGTCTCCTCCCTGCCTCAGCAACGGGGTCTTGAGCTGACAGGTCCACGGACGCTCGCCTTGAAACCCCCAAACCCCTCCTGAACCTGAAGCAAAAAGTCCAAATGGCAGCTGGGAGAGAGTGTAAAAGGGCAGCAAACCCCATGGGCTGTACTCCTGCCCCGGGCCTGCTGTCCCCTCTTTGCTAGAAGAGCTCCTGGGTGCTCTACATGGTGGTGGTGACAGGGAAGGGGGAGCGGTGGCTGCTCTTGGGGCACCCAGCCCTGGAGCTGTCCCGTGGAAAACCCATAGTTTGCCCTGCTCAAACTGACCCTCCAGACTGAAACCTCCCACAAAAGGTAGCAGAGAAAGAATCGTCCCTGTAATGAACTCTGGTTCCAAAACTGAGGGGTTAAATACAGCCAAAGGGACCTCGATTGTTCTGTTTAAATTCACCCTGGAAAAATTAACTGTTACTGCCCCTGAAGTAGTTGAATAAAGTGACTTGACTTTACCTGTTCTTCCTCAGCGACTAGTTGCTGGAAATGGGGTGCTAGTGGAATATTTCCTGATTGATTCATTTCTTTTTTTTAACATTATCTGTGTTGGTGCTAAACTGAGATGATTTTTTTTTCCCCATAATGACACCGAGGTTGAAGTGCATGATTAGCGCGTAAGAAATTTTGGTAACTCTTTGCTTTTGGGGTTTTTTTAATCACTGTAAAAGCACACTTTGATTGTGGTTTCCTTTGATGCTTGCTGTACGCATGTTTTCACTTGTTCTCAAGTCTTTATTTTCAAAGTTTTCGGTTGAGGGTAAGTAGAGATGAGTTTTTCCCCCCCACCCCTTCCCTCTCTAGGCTTTTCAGAGCAAACCGCTCTGAGCTTCCCAAAGTGGCTCTTCTCAGGCAATTTGTAAGGTACAGCCCAATTCTGACCTAACCCAGGAAGAGGGGAAGAAGAAAAGGGGAAGGGGAGGGGGTCTCCCAAAATGGAAAGCAATAACATCTCTGCTGTAGCTTCAGGAGAGGATAATCCTGGGGGCTTATGGTGACGGTGTCAGTGCTGGGGGTAAGGTGTGCCAGAATCCAGCTCGTGGTGCAGCATTTGCTGTAAGGCTTCCAAAAGAGTTTCCCAAACCTTCTCTTCGTTGTGATTTCTCTTGCCAGTCTGCAAATGCTAAATGTTGTGCCCCACGTTAACATCAGTTTCTCTGAACCCCGTTCCAGAGCCTGAAGTGACATTGCATGACTTCCTCGACTGGTTTTCTGTTGTCCCTGTCCTGTTGACACCTGTCCGTGCAGGGGAGGAGAGGGTGGCCCATAGCAAGAGCATCTCAATCCTCAGCTGACGTACCCAAATTGCCTGAGAAAGCACTAGAATGGTGGTCCACGAGTGGGGGTTAGCTCTGGTAGCTGGGTTCTCTCTGTCACTCAATCTCAAATAATAGGGCTCTGGTTATTTTGCAGAGTGTCTCTGAAGAATGGACAGAATTGCCCTGGCTAACTACAAGCTACAGTTCACAGTGGACAAACGTTGTAGTTTTCTTATTTACTTTTCTAAATTTTTTTTTTTTTTAATTATTATTTATTGTTCTTTTTTTTTTTTAATATCTCCTAGTCCCCAACTCTGTCCTGTATGATTGCTGTTGTACAAATGCACTTGAAATGCTGTGTGATGTGTCGTTTTTAAGACGTGAATGTTTTTACTTTTGTCAATAATTTCTGAAAATGTCAATCTCTCAAAATTTACAGCTGCCCACAGTCCAAAAAGGGGGTAACGAATTGACCTGAGAAAATTAAAGAATTCAGTTAACAGGCGACGTATGCCTTTTAATTCCTATCTTTTTTTTTTCATTATTTTTTTTTTTTCTTTCTATTTAATACTTTGAATGAGTAGGTAGAATGTGTTGGCAAATAGTGAATTTTTAAAGTTTGCATGGTGAAAGAGAGCCCTTGAGCTAACGTTAGTCAGCCTCGTGCCATAAGCAATTCCTTTGAGCAGCTGCTCTGACCATGCTTTTGTGTCTTAACCGTCTGTCTAAGCGGGAGCCAACTGTCTTAATTTGTTAGAGAAGCTCTTGATTTGCATGTTTACACAGTTACGTTTTAATTTTGCTACTACCTTGCAAAGCCTTTAGTAAAGTTCTGTTTAGAAAAGAAGCCTTTTGCTTTGACTGTGTTGCTGGTGCAATAAACAGCTGCCGTTAGTAGAGGTGGAGGATGAAAATAAAGCTGTACGTGTGACTCGAGTTGTCGTTGTGGCACCCCTGCTCCTCTGAAGGCACTGAGCTGCCTCTCGTTTCTGCTTTCTAGAGATGCCCGTGTGGTTAAGGACATGACAACAGGGAAATCCAAAGGCTACGGCTTCGTTTCCTTCTTCAATAAATGGGTAAGTGGAGCCTTGGGCCAGCACGGCCTCCCTGCAAAGCAGGCAGTGGGTTCCAGCAGCCACTGCAGGGAAGGACTCCACTCAGTCCTGATCTCTCTCTGGCTTTGCTTTCCCCTCCTGCTTTCCTCTCTGTTTGCTTGGATGCTCTGCTGGGGCTGTAGTGCTCCTAAAACTCACCAGTGTCACAGCGAGTGACATCCAAGGGAGGTTCAGACGTGACTCTGGTGTGTGTAGAGGGCCAGAGAGGTGCTGGGTGACAAGTGCCCCTCATCCTGCCCAAGGCTGCTGCTTTTGGGGGTGTGGGGGTGTCACTCTGGTCACTCTGTCACTGATGGTGGGGGCTCCTTCTCCTGGGCAGGACGCAGAGAACGCCATTCAGCAGATGGGTGGGCAGTGGCTCGGCGGACGGCAGATCAGAACCAACTGGGCAACGAGGAAACCTCCAGCTCCAAAGAGCACGTATGAATGTAGGTTCTCAGCTGGGTGCATCTCTGCAAACCTCCTGCCTCACCCGTGAGGAGGAGGAGGAGGAGGGGGAAAGGGCAAGTGCAGGGCTGTGGGAAGTGGGTGATGAAGCAAAGTGGGTACAAAGGGTTTCAAGCCTGAGTGAAGCAGCTTCCTCAGCTACTGTGTTGGTGTTACCACTGCTGGGGGAATTGATTTGGCTTCTGTATGCTCAGGTTGGAAGTTTATTTTCCCTCTAGAGAGCCAGGATAACTCCAGCTTTTTTAGGCTTGTTTCTGGGGCTTTTTGTTGGGATACAAAGCAGGACATGGGAGATGGTTTATATTCATAGAATCACAGACTGTTTCAGACTGGAAAGCACCTTTCAAGGTCATCTAGTCCAGCTCCCCTGCACTGAGCAGGGACATCTACAACCAGAGCAGGGTGCTCAGAGCTTGGTCCAACCTCACCTGGGATGGTTCCAGGGATGGGGCAGTGACCACCTCTCTGGGCAGCCTGGGCCAGGGGCTCACCACCCTCAGTGTCAAAAATTCCTTGCTTTTCTGTAATCTGAAATCTCCCTCTTTTACTTTCAAACCATCCCCCTTTGTCCTGTCCCAGCTCCAAAGTCTGTCCCCAGCTTTCTGACAGGCCCCCTGTAAGTACCGACAGGCTTCAGATGGGGTATATTGGACCCACTCAATATGTGTTTGGGTTAGTGCTTGACCTCTTGTGCCAGCTGGCGTTAGCATTCCTCTGTAACACGTGTCTTATCCACTGAAAAACTGTCCAATCTCTTGAAGCAAACACCAAACAACTCTCTTACGATGACGTGATCAATCAGTCCAGCCCCAGCAACTGCACGGTGTACTGTGGAGGGGTGACTTCAGGGCTGACAGGTACCGTGGCCTCACCTCAAACCAACATCGCCTCAAATCTCTCTGAATTGTCACCTGGGCACCTCATTCTGTGGCTCTGTGTGTTCCTGTTTCAGAGCAGCTCATGCGACAGACCTTCTCTCCCTTCGGGCAGATCCTGGAGATCCGAGTCTTCCCAGACAAGGGCTACTCCTTCGTACGGTAGGGGTTCTGCCTCCTGCCCAGGGGCACAGCCAGGCAGCTCTGGGACCTCTCCAGAGCAGGAGACTCCACAGCCTCTCTGGGCCGCTGCTCCAGGCTCCACCCTCACCCCAAAGAAGTTTCTCCTCCTGCTCAGGTGGCACCTCCTGGGTTCCAGTTGGTGCCCGTTGCTCCTTGTCCTGTGGCTGGGCCCCACAGAGCAGAGTCTGGCCCCCGCCTCTTGCCCCCCGGGGCCCTTTAGCTCTTGCTCAGCACTGCTCAGATCCCCTCTGAGGCTTCTCCTCTCCAGCTGCACAGCCCCAGGGCTCTCAGCCGGGCCTGGCGCAGAGATGCTCCAGCCCCTCAGCAGCTCCACAGCCTCCCCTGGACTCTCTCCAGCAGCTCCTGGTCTCTCTGCAACTGGGGAGCCCAGAACTGGCCCCAGTGCTCCTGAGGTGGCCTCACTGGGGCAGAGCAGAGGGGGAGGAGAACCACCCTCAACCTGCTGGCCACACTCTTCTCCATGCCCCCCAGGACACCTTCTTGGCCACAAGGGCCCGTTGCTGGCTCAAATAACAAAAAATAATTGGAAATGGAATTGCAAATCTTGCTGCAAAATATTCCACTTTGTTCAAGCAGAGATAGGACACCGAGACAAGGTGGCTGCGCACCGTGGGGGTGACAGGAGGGTGTTGTAACAGCACCCAGCTCAGTGCTGAGCTGGTTGGGGGTCTCTCAGGGTGACTTCTGGCTGTTGGTCCCCAGGTGAGTTGTTGACACCACCCCTGTTTGAACAGGTTCAGTTCCCACGAGAGCGCCGCACACGCCATCGTGTCTGTCAACGGGACCACTATTGAGGGGCACGTGGTGAAGTGCTACTGGGGCAAGGAGACACCAGACATGATCAGTCCTGTCCAGCAGGTCAGAGCTTCTCCTCTGCTCATTAGTCTTCCCTACAAACCTGGCAAGGGGTGTAAAATCTGTGTGTGACAGTGCAGAGGCCTCGTGTAGCACGTCAGCTGCACTACAGCTTATGGCCCAGAATCATGGAAGTGTTTAGGTTGGAAGAGATCTTTAAGATCATGGAGTCCAACTACCCCCCAGCATGGCCAGGTCCCCACTGCCCCGTGTCCCTCACACCACATCTCCACGGCTTGGGAACCCCTCCAGGGGTGGGGACTCCACCACTGCCC